TTCGATAGATACCATGATGAGATAAGTATTGACATGCTTTGCGATGTAACACAGCCAAGCTTTTACGCTCAGAAGTAAACCGAAGAAAGATGTAGTTCCATAGTGGCCAAGTCAACTTGTGAACACCGGGTTAGTGTTCATAAGTTTAGGCAAAAGTCTAGTACTCCATAGTGAAAGCGCTCGCTGCCAATAGAGAGGAACGTTTTTCCATCGAGTAGTAGTCGCAGTTGATTGTAGGGGCATGTAGAGAAAGTCTAACCCTTTGCCTTGACCTTGCAGTGCACTGTCAAAAGCGACTTGAGCTGGAGTAAACCACTTGGGTGGGGAGTCCAACTTGGCTCTGCAGTGTCGAATGAGTTGACGTATTAAGTTGACCTGAAGGAGTTCGACTGTATCGGCAACAGTATGAAGGTTTAAGCCCCCAGCATCTAATGGAACTGAATGCCATTTGCTGGGAAATTGGCTTCGAACTGTTGAACCCTGAACTGACTGTGATGGAGTGTTGTAAACAAAATTCTTCATGAGAGGATCAAAAACTTTTAATTCTTCTTTGGAGACCGCCTGAACACTCAGAATATGCCACAAAATTGACTGTATCATTGTCTTTAGTAGTAAAACACGGCCTTGTAGCGTACGGGCTCTCCAGCGCCATGCAACGCAAAGTCGCTGAAAACGAAGAAGTAGTTGGTTTAACTGAAAGCTGAGTCGGCACTGAGGACCCACAAGTATACCTAAAAGTGTGGTATGCTCTTCGTTGGTAAGCACACGGGTTCCACAGTTGCGTAAAGAGTTGAGTAAATAGTGCTCAGATGTTTTCCACGGTCGAAAAGGGAATATAACAGTTTTATCCATATTTAGCTGCATACCTGTTGCAGTGCAAAACTCTTGAACACGTGCGAGAAATGTAGGGGCTTGTTTTAAGTCATTAACCAACCCTGTAATGTCGTCTGCGAAGCTGAGAGTGTGATGATAAGTGTCACGAATCTTTATGGAGAAAGATTGGTTGACCACTCGAAGATAGCAAATTAAAGGTTCGATAAACAAAACAAAGAGCCCTGGCGAAAGTGGGTCTCCCTGTCGAACTCCTGCTCCCAAGCTGAAGTACTGTGAACGTGAGTTATTAATTAAAACTTGTACTAAGGTCCCCGTAAAAAATGTGGAAATCCAATGACGAAAATCTTTACCAAATCCCCAGTGTTTAAGAACGAAATCCAATACCTGCCAGTTGACACTGTCAAAAACCTCCGCAAAGTCGAGGCAAATGGCACCGGCGGGAGCCCGTCTTTCATAGATGGTGGTATAGTGCTGAAGATCCAAGAAATACCTTAATGCATGGCGGATAGCACGACCGGAAATTGGTCATCGCCTAGAAGCTT